GGTCAGGGGGTGTGGCATACGCAAATAACTTACGCTAATGAGCTCCTGCACCTCTTTTTCTACGAAATGATACCTGGCCCCGACCAGGGGTCGTTTTGTAGAAAAAGAGCTAGGGGAACTCATTAGCATAACTCATTAGCATATGCCACACCCCCTGACATCACCGGAAGTGTGTCATAAGGCCACACCCCCTGACATCACCGGAAGTGTGTCATAAGGCCACACACTCCGCCCCCAACGGTCCCGGCCGGCGGGAGTGCAAGGAAGCCCTGCGAAGGCCCTCCCTGGCCCCAGGCAGGCAGGGGTGGGGAGAGGCAGGGAGGAAGCAACTTACCCTCCCTCTTCTCCTGCCTCCTCCTGGCTGAATGAGGGCCGGAAGCGGGGCGGCCGGAAGCAGGGGGCGAGGCTTCATCATGTGCCCCGCCCGCCGTACCTCACCCAGGGGAACTGCGATCCCCCGCGATCCCCCCGGAAATGACTTCTGAACTTGTCCCACCACTGAATGCAGCTCCATAATGTGGCTTCTACATGCAAAAAAACTACCATGACAGGGGGAGAAAGAGATCTTCTTCTCCTTGAAACACTAGATTTCCTTGTTCAGGAAATCCCCCACCCCCAAATCACACAAGCGTCATCTCACAGTCTGAACTGGCACAACCTGGACACAAGTGAACCCCCAACTGCTAGGCCTGTGATGGATGTGGCTCCAGACAGGACTAAAACAACAGCATGTCGTCCCGACCAACACAAGTCTAAGGAAACTTACCACTTACTTGGGTCCTTAAAGTGTCCGTCTGGGAGACGAGTGATGAAACCTCTTTGTCCTTTTTGCTCAACCTGTCCTGGAGATCTTTAAAAGAAGAGGAGACGTCATAGATGAATGGTATTAATGGATAAAATCACAGTATATAAGAAGATCTGCGAAGAGAAAACTAATTATCAGGAGTTATTAGCTGAAATGTGGCTCCCATTTATTAAATACTGGAACGGATATAAACCAAAGAAGTATTTTAAGATATATCTGAATATTTGACTGCAACATTAAAAGGTTCTGGTTCTCTCCTTGGTCTCTTTTTTGTCGACTGAACTGAAATATATGATTGATATATGACAGATTGAATATTTTGGGTTTTTTGTATTTATATTATTGTATGTATTATTCATGTTACGTTCTCCTGAGTGCCTGTGGATTTTATTTTTCTTCTCTTTCGTAAATTGTTCAATGATGGGAAAAGGTAAGTATAATCAATATACTTTCAAATTTAAAAAAGAAAGAAGTCCAGGTCACTTTCTGGACACTCCTTTTCATGTTCTTTACAAGGGGCTGCTTCTAGGTTTGCCAGCACTGGCCTGAGAGTACATGAAGACTTTGGAGGGTGGAGCCTGAAGAGGGCGGGGCTTGGGGTGAGGAAGGACTTCAGTGGGATAAAATGCCATAGAGTCCACTCTCCAATGGGATCGTTTTCTCTAGGGGAAAGGATCTCTGTCACCTGGGGATCAGTTGTAATCCCAGAGCTCCAGCCACCACCTGGAGGTTGAAAGGAAGCAAACCACCGTGATGTATTGTGCCAAAAAAACAACTTCTTCAAGACTTGTACATTCTTTCCCCAATATTCAGTTTACTGGAAGCAATTCAAACGCTATCAACACCAACGAACCATGCATATTACATCTCGTTTCGTGTATAACTTTATCAAAGTGGGTAGCGTTGAAATACCTATATGCAGGGCTATTTTGGGGCAGGAACGCACAGGAACGGAGTTCCGGCTGGCTCCCAAGTTGGCCACGCCCAGCAGGAACTCATTAGCATAATAGGCCACACTCAACAGCAGAAACTCATTAGGATTGGCTACATTAGGGGTGTGTGGCCTAACATGCAAAGGAGTTCCTGCTCAAAAAAAAAAAAGCCCTGGGTGTTGTCAACAAACAAGGTAAAGAGAATAAGAAGCAAAAGGTGGGTGTGGCTGGATGACCACACTTCTGGTAATATGGGGGTGTGGCCTAATATGTGAATGAGCTGTGCTGTCGGGGGTGTGGTCTAATATGCTAATGCGTTCCTGCTGTTGGGTGTGGCCTATTATGCTAATGAGTTCCTGCTGGGCTTTTTCTACAAAAAAAGCCCTAACTATTCCACTAATGGTTTGATGAATGTGACTATGAGATATGACTAGTGTGCTTGCCAAATGAATTAATATTATATAGGAATTTCAACGCTACCCACTTTGATAAAGTTATATACGAAACGAGGTGCAATATGCATGGTTTTGTTGGTGTTGATGACGTTTGAACTGCTTCCAGTAAACTGAATATTGGGAAAAGAATTTACAAGTCTTGAAGAACTTTTTTTCGGCACAGTACATCACGGTTGTTCGCTTCCTTTCAACATCCATCCCGTGAGCTCTCTCTTTGGTTTCCACCACCTGAAGGTTGGCTACTCTAACTTCTTCACAAATCCATACCTGGAACATCAGCTTTGTAGGGCGATCCTTTCGTGCTGCCACATTTACAGTGCAACAAACACAACTAGCCCCACCCACCCTATCGTGACTCCTTTGATTGGCGTTTTGTGTTGCCAGGAGCAGGCCCAGCAGGCAAAAAACGATGAATTTTCCAAATCCGATGGGAAACTCAAGGGCACATGCTGCCGCAGAGGAGCTTTTAGCCTCCATACTCGGTGCACAAGCCTCCTAGAAGCTCCTAGTTGGTCACTGTGGGAAAGAGGGCGCTGAATCAGACAGACCTTCAGGTCCAATCCAAGCAGTGCATATCGGGTTGCCAGCTCTGGACTGGGAAATTCCTGGAGATTTGGGGGTGGAGCCTGGGGAGGGCGGGGTTTGTGGAGGGGAGGGGCCTCAGGAGGGTAGAATGCCACAGGGTCCACCCTTCAAAGCTGCCATTCGCTCCAGGGGGAACTGACCTCCATCACCTGGAGATCAATTGTAATAGTGGGTGATCTCCAGGTGCCACCTGGAGGTTGGCAATCCTAAGCACCCACCACCACAATGTGCTGATGAGTCCAGGAAACATCTGTGTTTAAAGGAGTAGCTGGTAACAGGAGAAAGCCTTTTAAGACGATGGCTTCAGCCTCCTTTGGTAAAGAAGAATCAACGGGACTAAAATGAGAAGGGGAATGAACTCTCCCATAAGACCAAAACATGACATTCCTGTCATCTGCCTCTTTTTAGCTTAAAATGTTGCCTTTTTTCCTGGCAAATAGCCCTGACAGATCACAGGATTTACACACTCAGAGCTTCTTGAGAAAATTATGTTAAGATTTCTAAAACCACACTTCCAAGATCCAGACACACACACAAAGGAAATCGTGTCTCAAATGTTCAGTCTCCATATCAGACTTAAGAACCGGAGAAGCACAACAGAAGGAAACAAGAGGCTCGGCTTCAAATCCCTACTCTGCTCCCTGGGTGACCTCGGGCCAGTCATATGGCCCAGTCTGACCTACCTAATAGGGTTGTTGTGGGCATAAAATGGAGAAAGGGGAAACAGCGCGTGCCACCCAGGCTCCTTAGAGGAAGGGGAGAATAAAAAAAGACATAGATTCCCATGTCAAATTCTAAAGTGGGCTTGGAATCCAGATTCCCCCACAAGGTTACCTTCCATCGTCTGCTTCATCTTTATCTTTTCTTCCGAAATGTCATTCGTTTCGATCATCTGCAGTGAACATAAAAAACGCCACACAATCAAACGCACAATGTTTATATCGCTGCAGTCAGCGCAAACAAAAATGGAAAACATTCATTAAGCTCATTGTGTTTTCTCTGGGCCGTGTAGAATTATTTCGCTTATTTCAAATATGTTTTGTCCCGATAAATTACTATTTCTGCTCTCAGATGCAGACCCTACAGTTTCCTGTAGAGTAGCACTCTTCGCCTTAGCGGCTAGTAAAATCAGGGCCAAGAACATAGGGAAATGAAATTGAACTGTAAAACGGCAATGTAAAACGGCAGTGTTTGGGGCTGTGTGTGTGTTTCTGGAGATGAGTATCTATATTTAAGATTTTAATCAATTTAAATACTGAATGTGCAGATTTTTAGAGGTTATTATATTTTAAATCTAATTCAAATTCCAGTGCTGTAAGTTGTCTAATTTGTATATTGTTCTAAATTGCAATGGCCGAAGGCTGCACAATAACATTTTACTACTACTATTTTGAATATTTTTGTCCTGCTTTTCAGCCCAAACTGGTTTCCAGCGTAGTGCACAGGAATCAAACATCTACACAGGTGACACGTAAAATGTGACACAAGCTGTTCTTTGGGGAGAGATTAGCAGTTCTGTCCAGACCCAGTAGAGGAATTCTGTCCATTTACCAGTCAATGTGTCTAAATCCCCAGGACAGGTTAGAAAAGCCTAGAGGTTATCTAGAGACCCATGCAGCTGGTTAATGAATTAATTATCATATGGTGATGTGTGTAGTACAGCCAGGAGATCCTAAGATTGTCTGGCAGCCAGAGGCTCTAGCTCTTTAGCATTATGCGCCACTAGGTGGCGAGCTAGACTTGTTTTTAAGGCAAGAGGCGTTTCAGAGGTGGTTTGCCATTGGTACCATTTTGGCATAATGGCTTTAAACAAAGGACTTTGGGGGGGGGGATGTGCCATTTTGTAAAACCCCTGCTTGATAAGGCTCGTGTAGTGTCAGATTAGGACCTGGGGGACCTGGGCCTAGTTCAGCCCTCTGCCACAAAACTTGCCGGGGGGGCCTGGGTCAAGCTACCCTCTCATTGGCACAGTCCTGTGGCAAAGTGGGCACTGTGTAAGTGCCTTGGGAAAAGGCAACTAGAAATGCAGCAGAGCTAGAAAGGGATGTTTGTCCTGGCACCTCCCCCTTCCTTTTCCCTGCTAGGCGATTGCTTTTCTTTTATTCTGCTTTTTATTGGCTGCTCCTTCTTTTACCGCTGTCTTCTGATTGTCCTAGGTATTTTGTGTTTCTGGTTTTATCATCTCCTTCGCTTGGATCCTGTCTAGAGTTGGGTGGGTGATGTTTGCCAATCCCCTTCTCCGGCAGCAGCCTGTAATACCTCCCCCAAATGCCCTCCTAGGGGGTGGAGACCAGTGTTCCCTCTAAGCTGAGCTAGTGTGAGCTAGCTCACAGGTTTTTTTTAGCCTCTGGCTCACACGTTTCTGTCTCGGCGCAGAAAGGAGGGCTCCAGAGCAAACTGATTTCTGCAGCGGCCAAATCGCTCGCTCACAACTTGAGTGCCAGCAGCTCACAAAAGTAGGATTTTTGCTCTCAAGACTCCACAGCTTAGAGGGAGCATTGGTGGAGACCCCCTCAGGAACAGCCTAAGGGGAATCAGAGGTCTCCAGCGGGAAAAGGGGAATTGGCAAAAAAAATCACCCCCTTCCTTGGCCCTGTGGAAATTCTAGGTGTGGTCTGAGCCATCAGTTTTCCCGGAAGCCACTTGGACAAGAGGCCAAGAATAGGAAACAAACGAGCTTTCTGCTGTTTTCTCTGGTGAGCATGCATAAGGTTGTCAAGCTCGTGCGTGTTATGTGCCATCAAGTGGTTTCCAACTTATGGCAACCCTACAAATTCATGATAGGACATTTCGAAGGTCATTCACAGCCTTGCTCCGGTCTTGCAAACAGAGGGCCTTTGTGGCTCCCATCTCCTGTTGGGTCTTCCTCTTTTCCTGCTGCCTCCAGCTTTTCCTAGCATTATGGCCTTTCCCGTAACTCTCGTCTTCTTATAATGTGACCAAAGCACAATAGCCTCAGTTTAGCCAGTTTAGCTTCTAGGGAGAGTTCAGGCTTGGTTTGGTTTAGAGCCCACTGGCTTGTCTTTTTTGGTGCTTGTAGCCTTATTCCTACGTAAAGATCTTCAAGAGGCTTTAAAAAAAGAAAAGAAGAACAAGAGGTCCTTACAGCAGCATGCTGAAAAACAGATTGCCAAAGAGGAACCGAGGCCGATTAAACCCCCAAGTCTTACGTTTGCGTGTTGAGAAGGATGGAGCGTCTCGGTGGACTGCAACTTGTTCTCCAACACGAGGACTTTCTCCTGCAGCCGCTGGATCTCTTGCTTACTCTGGGCTTCGGTTTTCTGCAACGTCTCATAGTCCAGCATTTTTTTCTCCGCCAGAGAAATCTGTTCTTTCAAGAAACCGATGGCTTGTGCTTGATCTTTGTACTCCCCGTGCAACTTCTCCAGTTCGTGCACTCGGAAATCTGCCTCCCGACACTTCTCCTTCAGGTCCTGAAGCTCGAGGATATGCTGGTTGGCTTTGGTTTCCAGCTGCATCTTCCAGTTGTTGCTGCTTTCTTCCAGCTTGTCCTTGGCCTCTTGCAGCTTCAGCTTCAGGCTCTCCTTCTCTTTAACGTGGACCGCGGTCTCGATGTCATGCTTGGCTTTGAGGTTCTCGAGTTCCAACTGGTGCTCCATCTTGACGCTCTCCACGATGGCCTTCAGCTCCACAATCTCCTTCTGCTGGGAGTCAGGACCTGTGTTCAAGGTAGCCTTGAGACCCTCCAAGGACTTCTGGTGGTCGGACGCTAAAGTGTCCAATTTGGACTTCCAGTTGTCCATCAGCCCCATATTCTCATTGGTGGCTTGCTGAACTTTCTGCTTGAGGTCCACGATTTCCTGAGAGTATTTCTCATTGAGCGCTTTCAGCTTCTCAGTCTCCTGCTGATGTTTCTTCAACGTCTTCTCGTACTTCTCCTTCAGCTGGACACTCTCTTTCTGGTGCTCTTTGTTAGCCGAAAGAAGCTGGTCTCGCAAGCGAAGGGCTTCCGTCTGCAGGCCAAGACTGTGGTCTGGAGAATCCGGTTGATGGGAGTTTTGGAGGCACTGCCTCAGTTCTTCCACTTCACTCTTCCTTAAGTTCAGCTCTTCCTCTAGTTGGAGGATTCTGGATTGCTCTGCTACCGTGGTCAGCTAAAACAGTTCATAACAAAACACACACAACACACAGAGAAGAAAAATCAGTGCTTGCTTTTCCATGCTTTGCCATTCTCCAGGGCCTCTTCACACATTATGATTCTTTTTTAGGTACCAAGATGTTTTAAGCATATATGTACAGATGTGAAGTACAAACACAGAAGTATTTCGAAAGAGGAGTGTCAGAAGGGTACATTTGCCATGGAACTGGAAATTATACCACCTCAAGCATCTACTCCATGGCAAACCCGGGTTTGCTGTCCCATAATGTGTGATACAACCCTTAGCAGAAGCAAGATCTCAAGACCCTTCAAGGGCTGGACCCAGAAACAGACTCATCACTTGAAGGAGAGCAGGAGGATGTGGGAACTGCCCCCGATGAACACCTGGAGGCTCAGAAGAACTCCCAATGCTTCCAGAGCCCCCGGGTCTTAATCACTAGTAGTTATCTTCTTGCTGTACCTTAGAAGAGGAGTCTGTACTGAGGTTGAGCCCTGGAAGGGTTCTAACAGAAGACAGCTTTCAAGTATATTAGTAATGCAAACATGAAATCCATTTGAAATTATATATATATATGTATATATATATTATATGTATATATATATATATGTATATATTTTGCACCAGGGTAATGTTGGTAACACTCGAGAGTGATGGATCTTGAAATCCGGCTAGGAATCTGCTTTGTATACTGTGAGTCTGCTACCGCGGCTGGACTTGCCAATTAGGAATAGAAATCTTGGCAAGTTACCATCTCACTGCATTGCTTTCAGTGAACCCCTCCTTCTTGGCCTCAGTTCCCCTGTCTGTAAAATGGGCACATCATGGCACAGGGGTTGTTGCTTGTTGGCTTCAGTGTCACCAGTCCCCTCCAGTCACATGGTTTACCCTGGTGTAAAAGGCCCTTTAAAAACAATCCCATGGAATTGTTAGCAAAGTTTTGAATAGGAGTAAGTATGGGAGGGATGCTAGATGGAAAAGCGGGTTGCAGGCCATGATTAATGATGGGCTTGGAAGCAGCTTACTTAGCTTATGAGGTGCAGCATGTTTGGCTCGCAAATTATGGGAAGGGGGAAATGGAAGGAACGGGAAGGCGCCGGGGGCATTTCGAAGCAGGAAGTTTGGCCAAGACTGGCTGTCCCCAAAAGAAGAAAGGCCAAGTCTATTTCATCAAACCTACTCAAGAGTCTCAAAGCCTTGGCATCATTATGAAGAGAGAGGAAAACTTCCCCTTGGCCCTTGCTAAACCTGGATGACGGTGATAGCCTACAGAAGCCACAGTCACCAGCTGCATGATAAACTCAGCATTACATTCCTGTTTTTTTCCTGCTTTCCAGCTCCAGCCAGGACCATGGACAGCTACCCCCCCTATATCTAGTATGGGCTCTCTCTCCAAGCCAAGATGCTAGAAGAAATCCATTGATGAAGACTGGAAGCTGCAGCAAAAAAACCCAACCAAGACGAAGGGGCTCTTGCTGCAGTGAGCAGAAAGCTTTGCTCCATTGATCGGGGACGGGCAGAAGTCCCGGACTCCATTTATAACAGGCCCAACCAATCCAGAAGGTTCATACTCTCTGCCTATCACAGGAACGGTTGTTGTACACCGCTGTTCCCTTGGTTGCCTGAAGGGGGCTCCATGGCCCGAGTGCCTAGCTCAGTCCTTAGAGTTAGAAATTATTATAATGCTCGGCTTAGCATGAAGTCGGAGGATAAAGATCTAAGTTCCTGCCTGTGTTTAGAGCAGCCACACAGCAAGATTCCACTGCGAGGGTCAGGTGGCTGGAATGTCAGACCCTTTCCTCTCCCCACCAAGCAAGTATCTATCCTGCATCCCAAGCCAAGCTCAACTGGGGTTTTCTAAGATCTTCAAGTACATAAAACTCTTATCAGACTCAGAAGCCTAGTGAGGAGGAAGTAGCCAGGGTTTCCAGTGAGGAAGCATCTTTCCCCATCACAGCAAGGGCTGTGGCTCAATGATAGAGCATCTGCTTGGCATGCAGAAGGTCCCAGGTTCAATCCCCGGCATCTCCAGTTAAAAGGACCGGGTAGTAGGTGATATGAAAAGGCCTCTGCCTGAGACCCTGGAGAGCTGCTGCCAGTCTGAGTAGACAATACTGGCCTTGTTGGACCAGTGGTCTGATTCAGTAGACTGCAGCTTCATATGGGCTCATCCCTCACATCAAAAGGATTTAGATTTATCAACAATAAGGAAAAATACCAGTTTAGACTATAAGCTCAATACGGGCACAGATTTGTCTTCTGGTAGCCACTCCGTAACATCTAATTTGTCCCCTTTTCACACTTCAGAATACTTTTAAAAAACACAAACTATATTTTTCCAGGGCTATTTTTGGGCAGGAACGCACAGGAACGGAGTTCCGGCTGGCTCCTGAGTTGGCCACGCCCAGCAGGAACTCATTAGTATAATAGGCCACACCCAACAGCAGAAACTCATTAGGATTGGCTACATTAGGGGTGTGTGGCCTAACATGCAAAGGAGTTCCTGCTACAAAAAAAGGCCTTGGGTTTTGACAACAAACAAGGTAAACAGAATAACAAGCAAAAGGTGGGTGTGGCTGGATAACCCCACTTCTGGTAACATGGGGGTGCGGCCTAATGTGCTAATGAGCTGTGCTGTCAGGGGTGTGGCCCAATAGGCTAATGAGTTCCTGCTGTTGGGTGTGGCCTATTATGCTAATGAGTTCCTGCTGGGCTTTTTCTACAAAAAGAGCCCTGCTTTTGGCTAACTGAAGGGAAAATAAAAGGTCATCTATGCTTTCGCAAGTTACCATTCCATGTCCAAAACAGGGCGAGGAGGAATGCAACTTTTAATCAAGTCAGCATTTCCAGAACATGTCCTTGTGCAGTGAAAAGGGAAAAGGCTTCACACATTAGGATGGGGACTTTCTAGAGCAGCCATCGTTTATTTATTTATTTAATTATATTTATACCCTGCCCTCCCAGCCAAAAGCCGGCAAGCAGTCTGACTGTGAGTGTAAGAAGTTCACAGGTCTCTGCCACAGCAAAAACAGGTTGCTTACCTGTAACTGATGATCTTCGAGTGCATTCACACCCTTGGGACTCCAGGCACCTGCGCCGACCCCAAGTATTACTTCTGAGCTCCGGAAAGGGATTTTCGCACCCCCACCCCTGCGCATGCCCAGGAACTCCACTGCGCATGCCCAGGGCAGGGGGCAGAGATCCCACTAGTTCCTTCTGACTGCTGTCCAACCCAATCATAGACTGTAGGCTGCCAGTGGAGGGGAAGGTCGGGCGGGTGGTGTGAATGCACAGATGACCACTCGAAGATCATCGGTTACAGGTAAGCAACCTGTTTATCTTCTTCGGGGTCTCTGTGCATCGCACCCTTGGGAGAGTAGCAAGCTCTGACCTACCTGGTGGTGGGCGATGGCAGCTACTCAGTCACACATTGATTGGAGAACTTCTTATCCCACTGAAGCATGGCTTCTGGCCTGAGCGTCTAAGGCATAGTGCTTGACGAACGTGGTAGGCATCACCCAGGTTGCAGCTCTGCAAGAGGAAGGCCGTGGATGTGGCCAGTGCCCTCATGGAGTGCACCCTGACCGGGCCAGGAAGCGGATGTTTAGCCAGGAGGTAACAGAACTTAATTGTCTCCACTATCCATTTCAACAGTCTTTGAGCTGAGATCCCTGCAAGAGGAAGGCCGTGGATGTGGCCAGTGCCCTCATGGAGTGCACCCTGACCGGGCCAGGAAGCGGATGTTTAGCCAGGAGGTAACAGAACTTAATTGTCTCCACTATCCATTTCAACCATCTTTGAGCTGATTTCCGAGTCCTTTCTGATGTTCTGTGTAGGAAATGAAAAGATGGGCATCCCTACAAAGTGCTTTTGTTCTGTCCAAGTAAAACAGAAGAACCCTCCTGATGTCCAGTAGATGAAGTCTTCTCTCTGAGTCGAACTTTGGGACTCATGGATTGAGGTTGTATGCCTGGTTTGAAGCATTTGAGGAACCAGCGTTGTAGAGGCCTCATTCTGAGTCTTGTAAACGGTAAGACCATGGTTGTGGCTGCCATGAGGCCCAGTAAGCGTTGTATGAAGAGGGCGGTTGCGATGCCTTTCGATTTGACCAATCAAGGATGTTATGGCCGCTGCTCTTTGAATGGGAAGGAAGGCCCTGCATAACGTAGAGTCTATGACGGCTCCTATGAACTGTACTCATTTGGACGGGGAGAGACTGGACTTTTTGAGGTTCACTTTCAGGCCCAGTTCCTGAAGTAAAGAGAGTGTGGTGTCTATGTTCTGCAGGAGTTGGCTTTCGGAGTTGGCTACCAAGAGCCAGTCGTCAATGTAAACATTACAATGCCTTGGAGCCGAAGGTGAGCCGCCAGTACCACCATCATCTTTGTGAATACCCATGAGGCTGTGGAGATTCCAAAGGGGAGGGCGGTATACTGATAGTGGTCCGGTACTATCGCAAAGCGTAGGTATTGTCCGTGATCTTGCCCTGAAGTTGATGTGGAAGTATGCATCTTGTAGACCGATTGTAGCCATCCAGACTCCCTCGTGAAGTAGTGGGAGCAACTGGGAGAGAGCTGTCATTCGAAACTTGTGGCAAATGATAAACCAGTTAAGGGTGCACAGGTCCATAACTGGCCAGAGTCCACCATCTTTCTTGGGTACTGTAAAGTACCAGGAGAAGGAGCCACATCCCCCTGAGTCTGGGGTTACTGGTTCTATGGCCCTCTTGATAAGGAGAAATTGTACTCTGTTGAGTAGGGCTGTTGATGGGGAAGTGGTGACAACCCTCGCGGGGAGGTAGATGAGTGAATTCTATTGCATACCCCCGAGAGATGATGGACAGTACCCAGCTGTCTGTCGTTATGTATCTCCAGGCTGCAAGATGGTGGTGAACATGAATGTTGTTGGGATGGGAGGTGGGAGGCTGAGTGGAGGCATTTAAGTCGACTGAGTCCGAGGCTCTGTTTGGGGGTCTGCAGAGTCTTGGAGCTGGTGGA